TATTCATCGACTCCGCAAAAAAGGGCCCAGCGTTACGTTACTATGCGGAAGGGTTTAAAAAACTACGGTATGTGATTCACAAGGGTGACTTTCTCTGACTTGCACTTTGCATCAAAGAGTGTCAGATCTGAAAATGCTCAGCTTCATGTAAATTCAGAATCTGGGGAATCCCAGACATGGACATAACATTCCATATAGAAGCATGAGTTGTGGAGGCAAAAACAACTGCTACATGCAAGAACAGTGTAAGGGAAGCTCCAAGGCCCAATATTTGCGATAGTGGCCCATGGACAGGTTCAAACTGGTGCTATGGAGGAGAGCTGTTGTCTCCAAACAATTTCCTAAAAGGTTGCACGATGAGGGCAAGAGTTTCATGAGTATACAACTAAGTTGTGTTGAGAGCTTGATGTGATTGAGCCCATTTTGCCAACTACAAGTGGTTTGTTTTGCAAGCAATATCCTCTTGGAACTGGAATACATCTGGTCTGAGGATAATATCACCTTGAACCAACTTCCCAAGGTGAGGCATAAGAGGATTGCCGACTGCACACAACTGTCTTCGCCAAGGTTGTAGCTATGATTGGCCATCTCTCAGTAGACTGAGTTGCAATGGCGTCCAATGCCCTCTGTCCTATGCATAACTTGCTCCATTGGGACGCGGGCAGATCGGGCACAGATGAATTGCCCAAGACGGGAGCGGGCACTGAAATCGGTGCAAACTGCCCAGAATTTGCCACATAGACACAAGTACTTCTGGATCAATTGCAATGGCCCAGTTGTCTCTTCCTTCCCTTTGCTGTGTGCTTGCTCATTGTCGAATTCTTAAATTTGGCAACAACAAGCAATGACTCCACTCTCTGTTCCACACTGGGTGCCGGCTGCCTCTGTCAAAGCCACATTCAGTGACCGTGCCAGCACAGAATGTCCCATTGTTAACATTTGGTGAATTGGTGTTGACTTCCCTGCAACCCTTATACTGTCTGCTCTGCCACAATGGTGCCAACAAAAACGATATTGATGGCATGGTCCAATCCCATTTTCAACACACATTTCCTGCGGATTCTTGAATAGGTACAAAGTTGCTTATTGATGCAACATTTCAGTAGCTACCACAGTCTACATTGACCAGAGTAGCAGGTAAGAGACAGGTATTACCAGCAATAGATGGGCACTAACTTGATGCTCATGCCCTCAAGAGCACTTTCTCAGATTTTTGGATTGAACAGGTTTTTGTTAGAACAAAACGATGTACAGAACAACAGCACACAATGGCCACGCAGTTATGACAATATACACAAGCACACTGCCAGATGGGCATCTGTTTAACAAGATGACAGGGAACATGTCCAGAAATCTGTGTGCAGCTGGTATATGGACCAAAGGAGGGCTTGCAACAGCAGCAACGTAACAGCAATGACCAACATACAATGCCCAAATTTGCAAAATGCAATATTTGCCATGTGCTGCAAGTTTCAATCTGCCGCATCATAGTATATTTAGCATTTCTGCATTTCAAATGTCTTTGCATCCCTTTTAAATGTATTGTTTTCCCTCACTGTGGAGAACTGGCTTCATCCACTAATTTGTCGTTCTGCAGCCACCTTGAGGATGTAGCAGGAGCAGGAACACATGAGAGGCGGCTTGGGGACAGATGCAAACATGTCCCTTTCCTTCGTGTTGAGGTAGGGAAGAAAATGCCTGTGCTGGAGTGGAGCAACCAGCCATGGCGCTAGCAGGCACGTTTCAGGAGGACGACTGATGCATGATGAGCACATGGTGTTGGTGCTCTTGAAATGTGGGGACACATTTTTGGATCGACCTGGGCAACGATGCGAAAGTTGGGGGAGACCAACCAGCCCTGTGCAACCTTTTCTTTCTCGTTTGTACCAGTAAAAGGTTGCTTTGTTTCTGTCGTACCACATATAGGGCTCAGCATCGCATAATTTGCAGAAATGCTGAGTATAGTACGATGATCCAATGATGTATCCAAGACAACTTGCACAACATCACCAATGCCATCAAAGCCCACTGAGCCTGACTGAGTCCAGAAAGGCAGCCGCTGTGTTTGATCTGTGACATACTGACGGAAGAATGTGGGGCTCACTGTTGATTACTACACATGGAACAAGCGCAGCATGGCATCCAAGCTATGCCTTCATTTGATCAATTGGAGGTTCAGGTGCCTTTGGTGACATCATGATGTTACCCAAGGAACCTGAACCTGGGCTTCTGGATCTGATTAACAGGGGCCACTGGGCTCCTCGGTGCAACCCCAAGGCCCATTTGTAGTCATCAGGGACATGCATTACCCAATAGCAATGCCTACAGAACACGCAAATCAGCACTCCGACATAACACGCACTTATGGACACAGCAGGTTTTGAGCCAAAGCCAAACTTCTGTAAGCCCATGAACAATTTCCGAGCCAAAGCCAAACTTCTGTAAGCCCATAAACAATGACATACACAGCTGGCTGAGAGAAGCAGAGTGTGGCAAATAATGTCATTGATTTTGTCAAACTTTTGACGTGCAATCTGAGTTTTCACTCTTCAGAAATCCGCTGCGAGACTGGATGACAGGGTCTGCTTGAAGCCAATAGCGGTACATTTGTCGCCAAGCCACCGACATTGGGCTTGTCTGTAACTTTTCATCCAGCATACAGTGGATGTGAAACGGTCTTCTCATGCAGCACAAAGAGGGACAAAATACAAAGAGACACTCATGCACAGCGCAGCAGGGTGCTGTAAACTTCTGCAACTCGACTTGATTACCAGCCCACCTCCAGTAGCATTTCGACATACCTCAATCTCTCATCCTTCATCGTCGCCAGACTCCAATGGAAAATCCGATGCCGGAAGTGCCATCCTCGGCCCCCACGGCGCGGCCTCGCCGCCGAACCAGCACTGCCGGGAGCAATGCCCCAACTCAGGCTTGAACCGTCAGGCATGACCTGCCGTGCGAACGAAACCCAAAACCAAGGCAGCCCATCCACCACCAACCAGCGCGGGGGCAGCCCCGCCTGGAATCGTCCTGTCCGCTTCCGACCCGCCCCATCGCCAAACCGCGCGAGCACGCCGACGCCCCTTGGTCGGCGAGGCGAGGTCGGTGTTCCACAGCCTGCTGGCGGGGACACCGAAGAACAATGCATGTCAACGGCAGGGGTCTGCTTTCGTCGACTTCAACCAACAGCTCGATGCGACACGATCGATATTCAGGTTGCCATTTGGATCTCCATCCGCGCCGGTGAGTATTTCTTTTTGCGACAGCGATCTGTTCTTCTTTGCGACAGTGCCAAATTACTGTGTAAGCAAAAAAGTTTGCACGGAAATTTTTTCGCCTACGCAGCCCCCCGCCCCCCCCCCACCCACCCACCACCCACCCCACCCCACCTGCCGCTTGCCACCCTCCGCTACCAGCCCCCCTCGCTATTGTTCGCCATCCAAGGAATCGCTTCATCGAACTTCACGGGTTATCATTGTGCTTGTCTAGGGCCTGGGTGATGCACAGGGCCGGGCGGTGCCAAATGGGCACTAGGTTGCGCCAAATGCTAAAATGCCACCAGTGGCAGTGCGCCACAGGTCGTGGCTCACAGGGCGTGGCCCCACCTGGTAGCAAAAGCTGATCGTGTGACCAGTCAATGGCACTGGGCACGGGCGCCTTGATGGACCCAAACGGCACAAATCCTAACACCAGGTACCCATGGATTATCCATGTGGATATCTCCGCTGATGGACACGCGAAAGACTGATGTAAACCATGCCTTGCCGAAAGTAACTAGCTTGACGTGTGTGAAGCCTAAAGAAAGGCGTGGTTCACTCTGTGTAGTCATGTACAGTCAACATGGAAGGCTGGGAACGTAGCTTAACCAGGTACTTGCACAGTTTTCAAATCCAACAGCCGTGTTCCCGATTTTATTTCATTCACTTGCGCGTCAAATTCTTTAGTTTTGTCGCTTCTGCCTCAATTCAAATTCAATTCCGAACATCAATACAGGAAGGGGGTCACCGCAGATCGTTTCATGAGCTACGAGCAACATGCACGCCCTGCACTTTCTCGCCTCCTGCTGGTTTGTGGCCGGGCTCTGGGTTGGCCCTCAGGGGGAGAACGTGTCCGTTGGCGTGCTACCGATCTGGGCGACGAGGAACCCCTAGGCGCAGCGCGAAGCACCGAGGACGCAGGTCGATTCGAGTGCTCGTGGTCGACAGTCGTGCGGCTGCTCTCGGGGAAGGAGAGGTACGGAGAGGTAATCCTCAGGCAGGAGCCCCTCTCATGAGCCTAGCCGAGCATGCATGCTTGCACCAGTGGGCATACCCGGGGCATCCATGCAAATGGGGATGGTGCGTGGTCCGCGGACGGAACATGGAGGTGACCAGCGTGCGTGCCAATCAGAGACACAGGAATGGCATTCTGGAACGTGCAGAGACCAGTTTGACCAGCGCCAGCGGCGCTCAGCCAAGTCTGCGTGCGATTAGAAAGGTTGGGCGCGCTGTGCATCGCACGGGGAGTGCTATTCGTCAGCCGTTACAGTTTAGGAGCCTTTTGATTGAGGCAAAATGCCCCAAATCTGTATTTCAGTCACTTGCAAACATTCGCAGTTCGCTTACATGCGCCCAAAGATGCATATGGTTACTTGTTATTCCACCCCGAGCAGCATTTTCAACTTCCATGACTGAAGACTTTTCGCTCTTGTGATCAGGCTCTTGCTTTGGGCTTCTCATGCGCACGCAAAGCCCAAAGCAAAAGCCTGATCTCAAGAGTGAGAAGTCTTCAATCATTTTGAAATGCAAAACTCCAAATCTACTCGGCATGCCCAGCAGATTTGGAGTTTTACTTTTCAAGTTGTGCGACAACAAAAGTTGTGTTGTCATTGAATGGACCGAAAGGCTGATTGCAACTTGTCCAGATACAGCTGGACACACCACAGACAGTGATGTGTGTCTTGTTGTTGTCCATTGCCAATTGTAGGAGTCCACCACCAGCAGCACTAGCCTGACAAGGCGATGTCTGACAACAGTTCCCAATGGCATCCTTGCTCATATTTGATGGAAGCACCACAGGACTACGAAGAGTTGCTTGACACATTTCTGGTGGTCCAAGGACAGCAGTTCCCTGTGAACAGTGGCTTACTGGCAACACACTCCCGTGTCTTCCGCATGATGATGATGGATCTGAAGGGTGCTGGGCATTCAACTGCGGATGAGAAAATGTCCATACCGCTTGATGACTCAGTTTCTGCTAAAGATGCTGAATTGTTGCTTTCATTTGTGTATTGCAAGCGCACAGAAGTGGACATGGTGAGATGAACTGCCCTTTCCAAGGGTCGATGTCTTACCATTCAGCCCATGCTGAAACTTCACTTATTTGCATTTATGTTGTTCATCACACATTGTTGAATTGTGATGCTGAAAATTCCCAGCATTAACTTTAAGAATTCGAACTGTTATGCCTCTGTGTTGTGTTAGGGAAGGCACTATGTCGGAATTGGTACGCTTAGCATCAATGTGACACAATGTGATGCTAACGGATTATGTGATTGCCACCAGAAGACATAAGCTATGGACATGCCCAAAATACCACTGATCAGTAGCAAGCAACTTATGAATTGCTCAAGAAAATCCCTGAAACGTTCAATCTTCAAGGAAGGCCCCATATTGTCTCTATTGAGAGCCTTAGGGGCTGCCCCCATCAGTTGCCTTGGCATTTAGAATTGCATTTTACAGCCCTCTATAATTGCTGCAACTGTGGCTATTATCTTCCTCAAAGAACTTTTTAAAAGTTGTGATAGGTTGTTAGTTTATGGAGCTGAGTCATGCTGGCATCGACATATGGATTGATGGTAAGAAGGGGGTTGGGGTTGGGGGTAGGTGAGATTTGTTACAATTCAAAAAAAAGTCATACAAAGGGCCACCCCTTCTGCAGCAAATGTGTTTGAGGCTCTTCTTCATGCCGTAAAAGGATGGTGTAGAGTTTCCCTAGTGGGAAGAACCACACATCAAGTGCACCATGAAGAGCAAAAACAGACACTAGGTGCGAATGGTTGTAGCAACAAATCTAAAGTCCAGATTCTTGCCAAGATTGAAAGGCTTCAAACATCTCCGAGGTTCCAGTTAACTCCACTAGGCCTTGCTGAACCCAAGAGCTTCACTTGGTGTGTTTTATCACAATGAAGAAGAAACAAGGGCGGGCACTGGTGGGAGCCATAGGGCCTTTGGGGCAGTAGATCCCATTGCCGGCCAGGATCTTCTCTTAGCCTCTTGGTTCGTGGAATCTCTGGGAATTTGGAGACATTTGGGGGCACATGGAGGCCGCTTGGGACCTCCACAAACACCCATAGACCCCCAACACGCAACAGAAGGCTCAAGCTCTCCAAGCTTGCAGTGCGTCAGATCGGAATCGGCTCCACAGGTGTAGAAGATTCCAGAACACTTCACAGCCGCAAAAGGCGCGCCCCCTCGTCAGTTCGATCAACAGGCGCTGTAGGTGCCACCCAACAGGGTCAATGCTCGCAAGCGTCACCCGTAACGCCACCAAGTGGGGGTACGAGAGGCACGCTGCCCCTAGGTACCCCACAAGAAGGGAGACTAGGGTGTGTGTGTGTGTGTGGGGGGGGGTAAGATTTGTTACAAAGAGAGAGAAAGAGAAACAGGCCATCCAAAAGGGCACCCCCTCCTAAGCAACTGTTCAGAAGCAATTGCCATGCACTTGCAGCATATACGAGACTATTGTCCATGCTGTGTAAAGATGATAGAGAGACTATATGGAATGGGGGTGGGTAAGATGGCATTACAAATTAACGAGGCGAAACACCTCCTTTTCCACCAATATTGCAGGCGCCATAGGAGGGGGCCCCGGAACAACACAAGGCACAAAACAGGAGAGCACGGAGTGGGGGGGTGGGGGTCTGATCTTAGCGTCAAACAGAGGCTAAGCATACCAATCGACATAGCACCATCCCTGAGCCGAATCTCCAGTTATGCCACAGTCTTGAGTCTGGTATTACTTGAGTCTGTCACGCCACAATTGTGCATTAAATACGACTGTCAAAGAATGGAGATGCTGAAGAACAAAGCAAGCAAGTTCGATGAGTGCACTTGGACCAACTACTGACAGAAATTTCCGTGGTCCTCATATTGCTTTGTTCAGCAAACACAACGTTTTGTTCCTTATAGGGGATCAGATTTGCGTTTCCATTGCTACGCTGGTCACAAACTCTGTTCCACATGCAGGTCGAAGAGGCAAAAACGCTAATATTGCTTGCTGACAAATATGACATACCATTCTTGGGCCCATTGGTGGAGCGAGGGCTATGCCGATCGATGGACAAGCTGGTATTCATGAAGGAGAAGCGGCCTGTTGCTATGGAAGACTGCCACAATGCCGGCTGGTGGCTGGCGGTGGCAGAGCGCATGAAGCTGGAGGACCTTAGAATGACCTGCCTGTGTGTCATAATCCGTGACTTGGGCCGAAACAGCGACTTTCCGAAAGAGAACAAACAAGCGTTGGTGTCGCTGCAGATTTACGGAGTGACTGTGGACGCAGTATGCGAAATTGCTGCTGCAATTGTGAATGCTGCTGAATTCCATGACGTCAGTGTCGACATTTATGATGAAGATTATGAAGCATTTGAAACTTTGCAGGTGCACCATGTTCGCAACCGCACAACTAAAGCATCTGCGGAACAATTTGATGTGAACCTGGAAATTGACTGTGATGCGTTGCCACTGACACTGAGGCTGTTATGGCTTCGTTGAAAAAATGCAATGAATAAAGGGATGGGACCATTGCTGGACATTTCTGCAGGAGGCCTGCACATCTAGGTAGTTGTTGCCTGGGTCGCTGTTTACGACATTCTGGGTCAAGATTGCAGCTTCACCAATCGTCGTTAGGTTCTGGTGTGTGCGCATTGCATGCCTTGCTCCTTCTCTGTAAGAATTATTTTCAAGATGCTGCAATGTGAAATGGAGCACACAGCTACGCATGCTTGAAATCTAGAATTAATGATTGCAATACGCTTAGCGTTAATTCAAGCTAAGGAGGGGACCTGTGGGGGCCATGTGTTGTGGGTGGGTGGGTGGGTGGGTGTGGGGGGGGATGCGACGTTGAGAACGTAATTAATGGCCACGAAATCAATATGAGCTGGAATGGAGGCCAAGTCGCTATCGATAATGCATCAATCGCCAGCGTCCAGGCGCTGCACCCCTCGCCTGCCATCATTTTATGCACACTGGTTTCAATCCTTTATACTTCCTCTGTCCGGATTTACTTGCCTTTTGTTGGAGAAACAAATCTCATTATAACAACGGCCTCAAAATCACAAACGGAGTTCAAAGTCAAAACCCTTAACTACCAATTTGCAAGAAGAAGAAATGAGACACGATCCCTTTGAGCGTTGTGTGAAAGGTAAATTTTGGCCAGTTTTGACCGCAAAGATCGAGGTTTACTAGGTAAAAGACCGTTCATACAAAGCACTGCCAACTCCTCAATACTTTGCGGATTGAATGGATGTTTTGACAGTGTACTGCAAGCTTATAGGCACAGTTTTGGAAGATGTTTTATTGACAATGGGAAATCCTGTGATAGAGAAGCAGGGCGCCAAAGTCATATATGACCCCCCTATATAGGGGGCCAATAATTCCGGACAGAGGAATTGATACCTACAATTGTGGTTGTTTGCATTCGTTGAGACACCTTGAATTCACGGTTTGCTGTTCACTAGCAGAAAAGGACCAGATAACACTTTTTGCGAACACATATATATGTGCATTTCGTTAGTGCTCTGCATGCTAAAAGCTCGAAAATAGCACAAACCCGTAAACTTGGCACACGTTCGAACATGTGTTATTTGGCCTTTTTTAGCCTAGTGTTAAAACTTCCGTTAGTCATGAACATCGGCACATCAAAGGCGGGCTCATGACCGACATAGGGCAGCTGACTGGGCCACTATCAAACAGCCAGTCAGGGTGAACAAGAAAGGAAAAAGGAAGCCAGCAAAGAAAAAAAAACAGATATGCGTTCATAAAAAGTACAAGGGAGAGCTGCTATGCAAACGGCATATCAGGAAAACATCAATGGGTTGCTATGCCGTTGTGGTTTATGATATCTAACATGCTGCCTGGGCAATGGCTGTAGGAGAAAGACCAAGGAAACAAGGCAAAGGACAATCCCTCAGTGGCTGCCCAGCTCTGGACATGCTAAGGAGCATTGATATTGCCTGACTGGAGCTTGACTCTTCATCAGCATGACCGCTGGAAGCTTCTGAGAAAGTGGTAGATTTGTTTCGTGAAAAGGCAGCATCAGAAACTTAGATTTGATGGACATAAATTGTTTCCATTTTTAAGCAGATCCGAGGGTTTGTGTCTGACGGCTGCTTGATGTTGAGTCTTGTAACTGTAATATACATGAGAACCTGAACAAGAAAGGACAACCAGTTGGATGCATGGATAGACCGCCCTAAAGCATTCAGCCCAGGGATGTCATTTGGGCACATGGGCAAGAACTGGACAAGAAAAAGTATGCATTAAAAGACCTGCCGTGGATTACTAGGAACTGGGCGAACAAAAGTCAAGTTCATAAATAATACGGATAAACGGAGTGGCTGAAGAAGTAGCAGCTGAAGAATGAATAACAAATAAGGTTGAATGGGAAAGAAGCACAAGGCGATGCTGCTGAAGTTTATGAACGGTTCAGTCTGAAGGGCTGCAGCTTGACACGATTGACTACAAAGGGGTGTAATAAAAATACTGGTCCTAACGCGAGGTGGTAAATACAGTAGCCCTAACATAAGCCTGATGTGACTGCTAAACCTGGAGTCGTATGGCCACGAAACTCAAAGGCTTGCTGCTGTGATAGTCGCTGATAAAAAGAAAGAAAAGATAGGGTGTTCTTGGAAGAACCGCTGACAGTTCATGGCAGGGATTGGGTGCTAAGAAAAACAGGTAAGGAGATTACAACAATGAAGAAAGAGGTGTAAAAGGATATAGCTATACAGTGGCGAAGCGCTGGCTGAACATGATAGCATTTCGCTAAGACTTTGGCAACGGTCAACATGACTCTAAATAATGAACCAGGGATGCTGGCAGAAAGCGCTAAAATGGCCTGGCAACTAGGCACCCGCCATTGCTTTAAAGTAGGAGGTGATTGTGATTGAGGCGACGCACAGCGCCAGGGCATGGTGCACAAGGAAACCTACTGCCTTCTGAGGTTTGTCCTGATGATAGAATGTGACCCCTGGGGCAGTACGGATGCTGCCCGGCGGTCAGGCTGATTTCCAGCCTTGAAACGCCTGAAAGGGACCCCGGAATGCAACTGAAACTCTACACCAGTCTGGCACAGCCCTCCCCTAGCTGGACGAGACAAGGGTGAGCTTTGTGCATTTGCCTCCACATGTATATTAGTGACGTAGTTTGACTGACATCCATTTGGATGTCGTATTGTGATGAAACGCGACAGACCTGCATTGCGTTGGCCTCCCACGTACCCAAATTCGTACTGTCAAGGGTACGGAGATAGCCCTGTAGGTTGCCCAGTGCAACTGGGCCTTTTTGATGCGTCACATGTGCTGACAGCTGAGTCAGCCGTGCGGAGCCGCGGGAAACGGGCCCTGCGCCCGAGACGCCTCCGCCTACGACCCCTACGGCCCGGGAGGCTTGCGCATGGCGTGCAAGGAAAGTCCGACTCCCGCCGGTGGTGCAGACCCGTTCGAGGCGCCATGGCCAACCTGTTGAACGTCGCGGCTCCGGATGGGATGCTCGGGGGAGCTGGAGGGGATGGCCCAATCTGGGTCCCGCAAAACAATGGCCTCTCTACCGATCACCAGAGGGAGCGTTGGAAAGCTGTGGCGACACGGTTTCCTCTACAGCGCTGGGGACCTTGGGGCTGGGCGCGAAGAGGGATGTGGAGAGGCGACGGTCGCGCGCGGTGAGGATGAAGAGTGGTCCGACCCAGGCGCTGGGAGCGAGGCGGATAACGCGCAAGGGAGCACGGCGGGCGCGGAGGCTGGGCGCCTTGACGGGGCGCGGGATGTAGCCATGGCGGACGCGGGGGCCGGTTACGCCGGTGACGACACGGCGTACCTAAGCGCAGCGGGGGGAAGCTACTGAGCATGCGCAAAAAGCATGGACAAGGTGGCCATGCGGATGATGAACGGGCAGAGCCAGAAGTTGCGGGGAAGTGGCAGTACGGAACTGGCCCGTACTTAGTAGGTGTATCAGGGGGATCATAGGGGAATATTCTGACGGGTTAGGGAATCTTATTGTACAGATTAGGTGCTGTACTGAATGGTGAGCTGAATGATTTTACAGTACAATACTAGGGGACTTGGGACCTGAGCGGGCTGAATTGAGTGGTTCCAAGTGATGTGAGTATCATGATCTTTTATGATCTGATCGATGTTGAGAATCTTCCTGGGAATCTTCATGGGATATTCCTAGAGGGGGCGGCAGCCCCGCGGGCTATAAATAGTGGGGCAAAACGCCAGTTGGGCAAGCGAATCCGAATAGAGGTGGCCACCCGGATCCGTTAATAACGGACGAGGGTGCCGTCCGTTAAATATCCGTTAATTTAGCGGACCCCGCTCTCTCTCTTGCTGACGTGGCACGGATGGCAGCGGACGGCTGGTGCCAGTCAGCGGACTCTGCGGATTCCGCTTTGGCGTTAACGGATATTTTCCAACGGACCGGAAGCCGCGCACCCCATCCGCTAA